TACCCCTATTCCCACCTCTGCAGCACTGTCCCTCACCGTGAGGGCCTCGATCTAGCTCCCACCCTTCCCTCCCCCACAAACTGATCTGCTGGGCTGGGGTGCATGCACGTGGCCACCCCAGCCTTGGATTGACTCCAAGAAGCTCCAAGATCTAGCAGTGGATCAAGATCCACTGGTTGTTGACCACTGCTCTAGATGGTCTTACATAGCATACCAGCCTGTATAGAGCTAGCCCAGGTATCACTACAAGGCCCCGCATTGCACTGTAAAGACATATCTTTTACTGTTAATTTTTAAAAACAGTCACTTTTTTCAGGATAAATGCATAGCTGCTTTATTACATAACAGAACAGTGATACTCTGTTTTACTTATTCTTTCATTTGCAGTTAGGAACAGAATTACTTACTGCTTAATCAAAGGATTCTGTTCACCTCCAATTCATTCTACGTAACAAATGCATGAACTCTTAAGTTCTGTGTGTGGTATTGAACTCCAGTAAGTGTTTATGGAAAAACTCTTCCAACAAAACCATCTTTCAATTAATTGAGGAAAACATCAGAGAACTGAAGTTCTTTTACCCTTTAAGAAGGCAGTATCTTATGCAAACACTATTTATTTTTAAAGGTATTTCAACAACTGGGATTTATTATTTATATACCCCTTAGGATTAATTTATAATGTTTGCATAGCTCTTTAAACAAATAAAGTACTATGCAACAGCTTTGCCTTATTTGCTTACCATTTTAAGCGATTCTGTGTTTGATTTAGGAGTAATACTACTCAAACTCATCCTTCCTGAAATAAAGATTTCTAAAGAAACCACTAAAAATGTTTAACTCAGTGGTTCTCAAGCTTTTTAGATTTGAGATGCATCTCATTTGGCTTGAGGTACCCCTCAGAAAATCCCAGCTCTTACTTTTCACTCATTTTTTGACTAGAGAAAAATGAAAGAGCAATACTTCTGTTGCAAAGAACTCAAAAGACCACAACAGGTCAGAATGTTTTTAACACCATGAACTCCTCTTTGAAATTTCATAGATTTCATTTCATAGACATTAGGGCTGGAAGG